TAGCAGCTTAACGCTGCCGTGTTTCGTATGGTGAGTGTAGAGAACCGGAGACCCTTTTTACAGGAAAAGAGGCAATTCATCTTAGTCCTCACGGGTGACAACGCATCTGCATTTCGATTCGTGATCGAAGATTGACGTAGATGTCTATGGGCCGCAGCAACCACTTACCATCAGGTGGACTGTGTGCTCGTTTGTCACCCTTATACTTTAAAAAAGATGTTTATGTACTATGTAGCAGCCACGCCTCACCCATATTATGGCTCTCATAGAATACCAGTGTAAAATGTACTCTACGCTGGTACTCTAAAATTACGTCTTACGTATTTTTAGTATTCTTCATATTAATAAAGGTATTAATATTTATATTTAATTCGCAACCATCTTTTTAATTAAATACAATGATGTGTCTTACCTGGATTGAAGAGCACCTCCCGCCCTCCCTCAATTGCGTGCACTAATCCCATCACCACTAATCCCAGCACTACTACTCCCAACACCACTACTCCCAACACCACTCCTCCCAACACCACTACTCCCAACACCACTACTCCCAACACCACTACTCCCAACACCATCCCAACACCACTACTCCCAACACCACTACTCCCAACACCACTACTCCCAACACCACTACTCCCGGCACCACTACTCCCAACACAACTCTTCCAGGAAAGACACACCATCGACGATAATACGACACGTGTTTCACTTCTACACGAGGCATCCTCAGGTGATGTAGACTCTACGGCGGCTGACCTTTAGCGGTCAGCTCTGTGCTCTTTAATCCAGGTAAGACACATCATTCTATTTAGTTAAGCGGATGGTTGCGAATTAAATATAAATATTAATACCTTTATTATAATGAATTTCCGCAAAGTAACGCCTGATTCTATAATTGATAGAATCAGGCGTTACTTTAAGAATAATTGATTCCTCATATTTATTTGCTTAAATGTGTGTTCCGTGGGCTGAATATGGAGAATCAGAGATCTCTTTATTTGGTGGACTATTTTCCTATTTTTCCCTCCTTACTTATCATATCAAATCAAAACAAATATTTGGGGTTCTTCATCCGTAAATGTTAGTAACAATTAAACCTTATTCTCATTGGTAATATTAATGACATAATCAAAGAGTCCAACGCACGCCTATTTGCCAATGCGCCCAGAAAGCTGTTCGAAATTTCGCGCACTTGTCTTAACAGCGAAGCGCTTCTCTTGCAGATTCATGTATGAAAGCAATCATATCTTATCATTAACGTTGTAACCATCACAACCACAAGTCCATCACAAGTCTTATCTACTTGCATCCATTGATTTACTAACATAAAGAATATTATTTTTATTCAGTTAAATGTGATATTAAACAAACAGGATACATAACTATTGAAATAAATCATCTTTGTGATAAGAATGAAATATATTATACGTTAACAATATGTATGTCAAATGAAGTAACATTTTATTATTAATAGAACACAAGAACTAGGTAGAACTTTTTCTGCCTAAGTGTCCGTATGTTAATACTGTGGTTTGGGGAATTACTAGGTAAGTACTATTCCTACTGGCACAGAGTGAGTGCACTGATGTATTCCGGTCTAAAAGGTAACGGGAGCCAATATAATTACAGGATGTGAGGCATTTCATTTTAGTCCTCAAAGGTTTTTTTATAGGATGGGGTGACAAACGAGCGCACAGTCCACCTGATGGTAAGTGGTCGCTGTGGCCCATAGACATCTACATCTATCCTCGATTACGAATCAAAATGCAGATGCGTTGTCACCCGTGAGGTCTAAGATGAAATACCTCGTTTCCAGTAAAAAGGTCTCCGGTTCTCTACACTCACCACATGAAACACAGAAGCATTTAGCTGCTATTTCACGCTGGTATTCTGTGAGAGCGTGGTCCTTCCCCGGTCAAGCCAACCCATTCTTGCTACAACTATACTACTAATATAACTGCAGCGTGGCTCTACCACGTATAAATATCATATATCATTATATTCATAATGCATATCTAGCCTTTTTTGTTTAAAGTTGTTTGCAGGTGTCCATGAGCTGCAGCAACCACTTACCATCAGGTGGACTATGAGTCGTTTATTAATCCAGTTTTATAAAAAATAGGAGGCTTTCACGAAACATTATGCTGATATCGGTATATCGTTATTTAAAAAAAAGAAATAAAAAAAGAAATGCACAAACTTAAAAAAGTAATTGTATTAAAATATAAATAAAATGATAAGTGCTCGTGCGGTGCTCACGAACCTTGAGTAACCAAGCTCCTTACGCTAAACTACCAATTAGTAACTAGTAATTACAATGTACTACCGGTTACATTCTAAGGTTTTGTTCTCTATAGTGTGCATAGTGCATTAAGTTAATATTTTGCTTAATTGCTTTCTCACCCTCGTAATTTTAATCCAATAATAAAACATACGTCATACTGGATTTTATACTTGAGAAAGCCATTCTGCAGCTAAGCTATTGGTGTAGCACGAATGGATCAGTCGACTGAGATAGGATCACGCTCTCACAGATTACCACCGTAAAATAGCAGCTTAATACTTTATTTATCCACGACTTTACTGTATCCACGACTGGTCGGCGCCGCTGGTGATAAGAGGGCTGGTTCTTTTGTCGCTCAAAGGCGAGGAAATGCAGCCAGCGTTCTTGGCACAATACCACAGGGAGCAGAACTTTTTGACAATTAAAATTTTTAGTTTTAGTTTTTCTATATAGCTTAACGCTTCTTTGTTAAATGGAAAAATTTATTACGTAGATATATTACAATTGTTGATCTTAATTTAAATTTTATTAAATACACAAATAATAATAATTAAAATTATACATAATATTTACAATTAATGTTTATTACACACAATATTAAAAAAGTTCCTTTTTTTAATATTGTGTGTAATAAATATTAATTGCAAATATTATAATTTTAATAATTATTATCTGTGTATTTAATAAAATTTAAATTAAGATCAACGATTTTAATACATCTACGTAATAAATTTTGCCATTTAACAAAAAAGCATTAAGCTTTTCGGATAAAATATTTGTCCACATTATAAATTTAAGGAAGTACACTAAAAAAAACCCTGCATTTGCAGCATGAAACCACGAAGTCGACCGATCTCAGTGATAGCACTGGTTTTCAGTCTGACCGTCTGGCTCATACTATTTAACATTATTTTTTTATGTACCAAATTCTACGCCAGGCTACAAGGCTACTAATGCTACAATTCTAAGAACTACGAAGCTACGAATGCTACGATTAATCTACGAAATATTTCCTATAGTCAATGACCACAAAATACACTCGAAGCTTTGTATTCATTTTTGTTGAACGAAAGATAAACAAATCTTATCCGTAAATCCTTTGTCATTATCAAAGTCATATACATTTATTCTATAAACAATATACGTTGTATGGGAAAACATTATTAACATTTATGATACATATAAAATATAATTAACGTAAAATGAGTGAAATAAGAAACCAAAAACAAAAAGTATGCATGTGTTTTTTAAAATAAAGTATAGGTTTTATCGATATAATATTATAATTTTTAGACTCTGTGTTTGGCCACTTCAAAAAAAAAAGGCGGAAATTTAAATTCTTACTGTACGTTCTTTTTGTGTACATGTTACGCGACGTCTTCATCAGTTGTGAACTGATTTTTATGATCCTTTACTTATTTACTTTTCAGATTGTTTAAATCCATAACGATGGCAAAATAGGGGATAATTTTTTTGATGTAGCCATATTTCTATTATATATATATATATATATATATATATATATATATATATATATATATATATATATATATATATATATATATATATATATATATATATATAGATAATATAACCCAATAACATTTAAAAAAATGAAAAAACCGACTACAAGGAAAAAATATTAAATAATTTCACATTCTGATATCGGTGCAGACTTCTGAAAAGTATTTTTTTAATAATATTAGTATAAAGAAGGAACTAGGAATCAACCTAACGGTAAATGCCTTATGCTGCCTTCAAATGTGCAAAAAAGAAATTCAACCGTCTTCAAATTAAGACTTCTTATCTCATACAAAGCGATGTTTTGTAACTATTCAATAACTATTACCCCTTAAATCAATACAACAGTAGGAAAATCAGAGAGTGAGACGGTGGCAACAACTCAGATGTCCCAGGCAAAGAAGCAGTCCTACCACTCAACAATAACTAATAATGTTCTCCAGACCGATTTCCGTCACGACGGCCAGTCTTAACGGACACTTGCCTACTGCGCAGGACAGGATTACAGTGCGATAAGTGTGCGCGTAAGCACAGGCGCACACTCTATATTACCTCACTCTCATAGTGCGATGGGACGGCAATGCGACAGACCAGAGATAGATCACGCGTTGGACTGCGGCTCTACATACATCCGAGCCCAGGGGGTAAAAGATCGCCCACTATCTGACGCCGGGCTGTTGACAGAAATACGCAATAGGTAATTTTGACCTGACCCAAAATTAGAACCTGGGACAACACGAAAAGCAATCATGCTTACGACAAAGAGGCTGAAATTATATTTTTTTATAGAATAAGGGTGACAAACGAGCACACAGTCCACCTGATGGTAAGTGGATGCTGTGGCCCATAGACATCTACATTTAACCTCTATTAAAAATCAAAACGCTGACGCGTTGTCACCCCTGAGGACTAAGATGTAATGCCTCGTTTCCAGTAAAAAAGGGTATCCAGATGCACCATACGAAACATAGCAGTATTGAGCAACTAATTTACGCTGGTACTCTGTGAGAGCGTAGTCCTTCCCCGGTCGAACCGACCCATTCGTTCGTGCCACAACCATAATATAGTTGCAACGTGGCTCTAGTACATATACCTAGTAAAATAGAGTTAAAAGATAAATGAACGTTATAGCTGTTTTATTCTTTTTTATGTACATTACAAGTATTTATTCAATCTATCCCTTTTTTGTTCCCAGGCGTAGGTTACGCTATCTGCATGATAGACATCTACATGGGCATGTACTACAACACGATAATCGGCTGGGCGGTGTACTACTTGATAGCTTCCCTGGCGTCCGTGAGCTCCGTGTTGCCGTGGACCAGCTGCGACAACGAATGGAACACCCCCCTCTGCACGCCGATAACCTCGCCACAGATCTTCTTAAACGCTTCTACGCCAGCCAAGGAGTTCTTTGAGTAGTTATTTATTTCACTCCGTCACTGCTAATATTTAACTTCATCTTCTTTACCCTTACAGCCTATTGAATTCCACTGCTGAACACAGGCCTCCCCTATAGATTGCCTCATAGGGGGGATATTTGCCATAGTTGCCACGCCTGACCATCAGGTTCGCAACCGTAGTTTATTTTTAGTCGTTATAAGAAAGGCGCTACTGCCGATCTCCTGATTGCTTTTCCTCTGTCACCCCTTACGAAATACACGGGATGATATAATAACGCAGACTAGTACACTGGGCAGCGAATATTCTTACACCGCCACTGCACGGTAAGCTTCTTCTTTGTCTGCCTGTAAAATACCACAACTGAACATAGGCCTCAGCCCTTGTAGGGAGGATTCGCCTTAATCGACACTCTTAGCAAGTGGATTGACGATCGTAATTCCAGACGTGAGCACCTGCCCGACGCCTTTAGCGCATGGAGAATTTACCGTCTGGAAAAAATGGGGTACATTTGAACCGAGTAGAAGCCTATAGCACTGATATTTTACGAAAAAACTAAAATAAAACTTTTGAATTAAATAAATAAATTAATTGATATCTATATATAAAATAAATTCAAATCATATCCACCCTACTTTACGAACGGCAATGAAACAATAAATTAAGTATGCATCTATAACTTTGTCACTTCGCAGGGTCACAAGCTCAAGGGCAAGGGCAAAGTAATTCTTAAAAAAATTTCAAACGGCTAATTCAAAATTTTCGTTTTTATTTTTTGTAAAATATCAGTGCCATAGGCTTCTACTCCATTTACGTGTTACACCCTATTTTTCCAGATGGTAAAAAAGGTCATCCAGTGTAAATCTAGCAGTAAAAATTAGCAGAATCTGTAGCTAAATAATTGTTAAGGACAGATTTTGTATCTCTAATCGATTCTATGAAAAACAAGTTACTGCTATCTTTACATCAAATATCAGTAAAATAATGAAATCAATGATGATTGAATCGAATAATAATAGGTGCTGATTTGATGCTAGAAGACTGTAAGAAAAAAATTGATAACTTTCTGTGTCTGTGCTATCGTAATACTTAATTTCTATAACATAATAGATTTTATTGTTGGTTAGAAATGACATCAGGGATGCTTGAATAGCTAGCAACAAAAAAGAAATAAAAAATCGGCTGGCTCCGGCAATCAGTTACTACTCGTAACTACCAGTGTCATGCTACGTATTACATAGTACGTGGATTTTATAGGCAAGATGAAATTATAGATTTTGTTGTTGTTCAGAAACGACACCAGTGGCACTTAGAAAGTCAGCATTAGAATAGAAACACAATCGACTGGATCTTGCAACTGGTAGGCAGGCTCCGCCCCGCCGGTATAGGGATTTAACAGCTGTCATGTACACGATAGTAGACATTTATCAGAGTCTCATCAATATCAAAATTCATCGTAACATATAGGCAAAACAAACAAAATTATTTCAATCACGGCATGAGCAAAAATATATAGAGCCAATAATTTCAGACGGAGCGTGTTGGAACAACATAAATCAAACGGTCTGGATGACATGGGACCAATCAAGCCATCGCTTGCTCTGTGCGTCTTCGGCGTGTTCGTGCTAGTCTACTTCTCATTGTGGAAGGGTGTGAGAAGTGCTGGGAAGGTACGTCTGGGGACATTATATTAAACTTTTTGCAATAACTATTTTTTATGTTTATAAATGTTATGTAAGCAATGGAAGGTATAGTTATAACCTTGGTACCTACCTTTAATAAATAATGGTATATCCAGACCACGTATAACCACAGATTAATTAATAGTTAATATGTAAGCATTACTCTATTTTCTCCATGGATAATGACACTATAGCTAATATTTTTATACTATTTAATCTATATCAATGACAAATATATTCTTATGTTTTTTTCTTATTACATCATTACATCATCATCATTACTACCCTTCACAAGTCTGCTGCTGAACATAGGCCTCCCCCAAGGAATGCCTGAAGCACAGCACTGAGCCACTTTATCTAGTGGGACTGCCGGCCTACACTTCACTTACCGGTACGAGGCTGCTACTAAGGAACCTTTCTTGCCCATTGGCAAAAAAAAAAACCAGTAATCAGTCCGAACTACAATTGTATCTCTGGGTCGTTCAGCAACAGCAAATATTTTCTAAAAACCTATTCTGCAAATATCTCGTCGCCCGAATTTTCCCTTAAAAATACGAAAGAGTTAAAATTACATTTTAAATAAAACTTTACGAGATATGTAGCTTATGTCTAGGCCAAACTGCATGGCGTTATAGCTTTAGCAACAAATAGAACGGTTCGACCAGAGAAGGATCACGTTCGCACAGACGCATTATCCTGGTAGCATAATGCAGAACTGGAGACCCTTTTTACTGATAACGATGCATGATATACATGTTGGTATCTTTGGTCACTTACCACCGCCAACATTTTATTTTTAAATTTCCAACATCTTTATCGATTATATTGTCAATTTTTACCACTTTTAATTTTTAAAATATTGTAGTTATAAACAATCAAAAGAAGAAAACATGAAATAATTTTAGTTCTTTGACGATTCCTTTTCCCAGGTTGTGTGGGTTACGGCTTTGGCACCATACGTGGTCTTGTTAATCCTACTTGCGAGAGGAGTTACGCTACCAGGAGCTACTGAAGGGATACGTTACTATCTTACTCCTGAATGGCATAAGTTGCAGAACTCTAAGGTATGTCATTTATTTCCATCCACCCATAACAGCCTATCACAGGCTGAACTAACCATAAGATATAGTTGCCACGCTTGGCAAGCGGGTTGGCAGTTATTTCATAATAATTAAGTTGTTATCAGAACGATACTGCTGCCCCATATTTTTACGACACCCATGTTAGGACTTTGGGAAGTAGATATTCTTACAGTGCCTTACACTACGTGGTTAAAGCCATTATTTTATTTATTTAATACGGTAATGGTGGTCACACACGGTCAATTAAACTGAACATTCCAACTGATCAGTTCAAACTAAAACTGTTGATATTTTTTTAAATAGTGGATTTCCGATATATCCATGAATAACTTATATGTCAAATATATAAATATACCGGAAATCCTCTGTTTTAAATATCAACGTTCATTGCATGATCAGTTGAACTGACCGTGTGTGTAAAAATCGTGAGAAGGATTTTTTTTTTTGGAATTAAGGGTCCGTCCACTGTATGACGCTATAGTAATAGAATAGAATAATTTGTTATTCAATATAGATTACATGTTTTTTTTTATAGAAGAGGGGCAAACGAGCATGCGGCTCACCTGATGTTCAGTGACTACCGCCGCCCATGATCAACCGCAACACCAGGGGAATTGCAGGTGCGTTGCCGGCCCTTTAAAAAGGAGTAAGCTCTTTTCTTGAAGGTCCCCAGGTCGTATCGGTCCGGAAAAATCGCTGGTGGTAAACTATTCCACAGAGAGGTTGTACGCGGAAGAAAACTCCTCTTGAAACGTACAGTGGTGGACCGCCAAGCATCCAGATGAGTGTGGATGGTATCGGGACGTTTGCCGCGTTGTGCGTTAACGAAATTTGGCGGCTGGGATTAATCCGAACAATGTAATAATAATGTTGTAATTCTTATTAAAAGTCAATTTTTACTTTACCACTGTTACGAAAAAAACCTCTGTCCTGGGAAGAACCAGCAAGAAACCCTTTTTTTTAAATAATTTTACTATCTCAATGGTCACAAAATATTTACAAAATTTATTTTACAAATATTTTGGAAGCGACCACCTCATTCCCAGGGGTTATTACCAACCATGTTTACATTTATATTATAATTACCCTTTTTATAATGTTTTTGATTCTTGTGTTGTTTATGTGTCGAGACCGTGTTTTGTAACGTTCCTTGGGAAAGACCCACGTTCAGCAGTGGACTTGTGAAGCGCTGTAATAATTAGAGATGGGCCGAATATTCGTTTCATATTCGGTGTTCGGTATATTCGGCAGCTTTACCGAATATTCATATTCGGCAGATTATTCGGCTAAATCACCGAACGTTCGTTTAAGTGGTACTTAGTGTCCACTGTATTGAAATGTACGAATGGAGTAATGCCATGTCTTTCAGAATTTTGCTGTTGAAAGTATATTTCATTTATGGGCTAAATATACTTGAAATGTTATGTTTTAAGGCACTGTAGATTTGTTTCCAATTATAGCAAATAGAAAGCTTGATAAAATATTTTTGGAATCAAACAAATAAACTTTACATAAGTACATTTCACTTTACTTTGGTCGTCAATTTATACAAAATATGTCCAAATAGTAGATCTCCATGCCATTCATTTTTATCATATAATTATTATCAATTTTCACTAAGAATAACACAACGAAATATTTTTTTCTCACCAAAGTAGTCAAAACATAAGCATATGCCGGCAATTTGTTCAATACTAGATGATGTAATAACATGTCAGGTGTAGCGGGGAGCGAGGGGAAGGGTCCGGCGCTAATCTCGCGCGCTTTACGATACGGTATAAGTTGGTTAGGTACCGAGGTGACCCTGCCGAATAATATTCGCACGAATATTCAGTTTGGTAAAAGTCTTACCGAACTTTCCGCCGAATATTCGTATTCGATGAAATCCATATTCGGCCCATCTCTATTAATAATATTGAAGAGTAACAATAAAAACACAGTTTACCTGATGATAAGTGGATGTAGTGACCCATAGACACCTACGTCCATTCTCAATAATAAATGGAGATGCATATGTATTATCGACTCTGAGCACCAAGATGTAGAAAGAAAAAAAGGTCTCAAGTTCGTTAGTTCAAAACATTTTTATGAAGAAAAGAAATAAATTTGGTGAAAAATAAAAATTTGTGAATTTTCTTAGACATTCTTTACTTATGTGAATATTTTATAAGATAAAATTGAACATTTAAAAGATAACTAGTTTTCTTGTGTAATTTTGCCGCTTCTTCTTACAAGATCTCCCGCACCTGGGCCTTGTTGAAGCGATTGTGTAGCGTCCGACTTTCAAAAAGCATTCGCAATACAAAAGCATCTTTTGTATTGCGTATGCTTTTTTATACGCATTTTTTTTTAATTACGCAAAAAAGCCCAACCCAAATTTCGTTAACTGAACACAAATATTAGAAATAAATTGTCAATCGCAGGTGTGGATCGACGCCGCGTCTCAAATCTTCTTCTCTCTGGGTCCCGGGTTCGGCACGCTGCTGGCGCTCTCCAGCTACAACAAATTCAACAATAACTGTTACCGCGACGCCCTCATCACTTCCTCCATCAACTGCCTCACCAGTTTCCTCGCCGGCTTTGTTATCTTCTCTGTCCTAGGGTAAGCATTAAAATGACATATTTGTTTATTTATTTACTCTCGTAATAAAATAAATGAAATTACAAGAGTAACCATATCCTTTTCAGCTGTAGTAGCTCAGGATTTAAGCACTCGCCATGAAAACTATACGCAAGCAACCCTGGTTCAATCCCCAGGCAATAATAAAAAAAATATTTCAACATTAAGTACTGTTTCACCAAGTACTCAACAGTAAAATAATACCAGGCCATGTGACGTCCACCAAAACGCATAGGAGCAGCGCGGCTAGCTAACTTCTTTATAACTCTTTCAGAAATATTTGGTAGGACAGTGCGTATAAAGGACGTTTAAAGGTTGTAACTTAAAGATTCTTCAACTTTAAACTATATCAGTATATTCTCGGTACATCGGTACATTTTGACTGAGTGACGGATATTAGCAATATAAAGAGTTTACTTAAAATTTTAACTATTTATTAAAAAATTTATTTGATAATACGCCAATGAAAAAAAATTAAAAAATATCTATACCATAGACTTCTACTTTGTTCATCTATTACACTCAATTTTTCCTCAAAATAAAAAATCTATCGCTATATACATAATATAGTATATAAGAACTCCTCAATCAAAGTAAGTATTAAGATTTTGTGGTTGACTAACCTAGAAAGAAAATATTTCAATTTACGGATGGCACAACATATACAAATATAAATTTTATAAATATTTGAAATTCATGTAAAGCTATTTCTTCCGTTAAGCTGTCTGAAATGCATATGGCCAAACACTACTTAATTTTAAAATGTCATTAAGTCTCATGGTGTCACAGTCACTTTGACTTAAAATGATAGAGACAGCACGAGTCATCTTAAAATTGAGTTACGTTTGAGTATTTGCGAAAGATACAACCAGCATGCAGCCTTGTCTATAGTTAGTTGTAGATGCCTATTGGCTACAGCAGCCACTTCCCATGTGGTGGACTGTAATTTAGTTTATTAATTCGGTTATATAAGCCTCATCTTTGTTAAGACAACTATTTATTATAAAGGTATATGGCGCACGTGCAAAACAAGAGTATTGAGGACGTGGGTCTAGAAGGCCCGGGCCTGGTGTTCATCGTATACCCAGAAGCGATCGCCACTATGACCGGCTCCGTGTTCTGGGCTATCATATTCTTTTTGATGCTGATCACGCTCGGCTTGGACAGCACTTTTGGAGGTAATTATTTATATTAGAATTTATATTAATGAATAACATTTATGTGTAAAAAATATGTGTAGGAATTTCTCCAGTGTTCGTGGAGACGTTTTACATACATATATTCCATATGGGCGATCATTTACAACCAGAAAAATTTTTATGTAGGCTATACAAATACGGGTACGGCATTCGAAGCATTCGGCCCTACATGTGATGTAATAATTTGTCAACTACATAATATAATTTGAAATTGCTACATTCAGTAGTCTCATAACTCGTTCGGTTTTCCATTTTAATAATTAAAATTAGATTGATATTATTTTTAAAATACACAAAAAACACATTTACTTTATTGCAAGAAACTATGACGTCATTGACTGCCATTTCCGTATAATTTCTATATAAACATACCCTTATCAACTTCGGCCCATTAAAGTCCAATGCTGGATATGGTCCTTTCCCGAACAGGACACCTACAACTAGGGAGGATTTCTCAGTCGTTTGACGACCACCTTTGACACTTCTGTCCGTTGCCGGTCTGGGTATTTCTAAATAAGATGGTTATACCACAATCTATCAGAAGCCGTTAGAGTATCATAGTAAATAACGATGACTTATAATCTTAAGTACATCTTCAAAATTAATGAAAATCGATCAATGAAGTATTAACAGCAAATAACACTAGTGTGGTACCTTACCCCGCAGGGGAAAAACAAGTTGAGTCATTAATATAAAGTAAAAACAGTAATGGACGTCTAATTTAGCCCTGAGAAACACCTATTGATCAACTAACCTGGAAGAACTTACATCCGTCTATCGATTCATTAAAGCCTATAAAAGTTCACTGCTGAACATAGGCCTCTCTCATACATTACCTCATGGGGAAATTTTGCCATAGTTGCCACGTGGTTAGGCAAGCGGGTTGGCAACTGCAGTTTGTTATTATTTAAAGTTATTATCAGGAAGGTGCTGCTTCCCATCTCCTGTTTAACTTACCCTCTGTCGCCTCTTACGATACCCTCGGGACGATATACGAGGGGCGGCTTATAAGTCCGCGGCCGAAGGTTTTAATTTAAAAAAATGGTTGCTATGTTTTATTTTTCTATATAGTCTCCCTCAAGTGAAATACGTTTCTCACAACTCGCATACAATAACTAAAACTCAAACATAGCTGATATAGTTTTGTTGTTTACGCAGGCTTGGAAGCGGTGACGACGGCGCTCTGTGACGAATACCCGCGTGTGTTGGGCCGCCATCGTGAAATATTTGTAGCAGTGTTGCTGCTCTTTATATACATCTGCGCTCTGCCCACCACCACATACGTAAGTAGCCTGAACGATCTACTTAGTAGTTAGCAAAACTGGTTTCACCATCGCCGGACGGTGAACAATGGAAGAATACAGAGTTGACCTGATAAAACTAGCAGGTGGGCATTGGATGCAAGTGGCACGGCACCGTACTTTATGGCAATCTATGTCGGAGGTCTATTTTCAGCGGTGGGCTCGTGATTAAAATATTGTAAAGTCGGAGTCGGTCGACTCGACCTGGCAACGTATAACGCACGCACCCTGAGGACTGACGAGAAGATACTGGAGCTGGAAGAAGAGGTAGACAAGTTGCGCTGGCATATTATTGGATTATCTGAGGTCCGAAGAGAGGGGGAGGACACGGTAATCCTCAAGTCCGGCAACTTGTTCTATCACCGGGAGGGCGACCATCTGTCCAAAGGAGGTGTCGGATTTATCGTCCAAATGTCTTTCGTCAACAACGTTGTAAAGATTGGGAGTGTGTCGACGAGGGTCGCGTAGCTGATACTCAGAATCACCAAACGGTATTCGCTGAAGGTTCATACAGGTCTACGCACCAACCTCGGCACATCCCGATGAGGAGGTGGAGGAAATGTATGAGGATATTTCCAAAGCCATGCATTCCTCCAAAACCCACTACACGGTATTGATGGGAGACTTCAACGCAAAACTAGGCACAAGAGAAAACGGTGAGCTAAAGAAAGGGAAATTTGGAGTAGGGCAACGGAACCGAAGAGGCCAGCAGCTGGCCGACTTTATGGAGAAAGAGGGACTCTTTATGATGAACTCTTTATTCCAGAAGCAGCCTCGCAGGAAGTGGACCTGGACGAGCCCCGACGGTTCGACAAAAAATGAGATTGACTTCATTATGACGACCAGACGCCAACTTTTCAGTGATGTCTCAGTGATCGCAAGGGTGAAAACTGGCAGCGATCACCGAATGGTTAGAGGCACACTGAACCTAAACGTTAAGTTGGAGAGGTCTCGTCTAATGAAGTCAACGCTCCGTCTCCCTCGTGCTCTAATCCAGAATCCCGAAAACTTTCAGCTCGAGTTACGTAACCGCTTTCAGTGCCTAGAAGATTGCAATGCAGTAGACGATATGAATGACAAGCTCGTGGAAACTGTCCATGCGGTCGGAGCTAAGTTCTGTAAGACCCGCCGCAGAAGAACACAAAAACCCTCCGATCACACTCTTAATCTCATGGCTGTTAGACGGGAGATGAGGCTGCAATCGTTAACAGATTTGACAGCATACAGGCAACTGAACAGACAGATCTTCGAATGCATGCGGCGAGACTTACGCAACTTTAATACTGCTCGTATATAAAGAAGCAATCGAGCGGAACCGAGCTCCAAAGTCTTTGCCAGAGATCTGTCTGCCAGAAAGAGCCAACTGTCAAAGCTGAAGACTGAGTGTGGCAGCATCGTTTCCAAGACACCTGAGATTTTGAGTGAGATTGAGAGGTTCTATGGGCAGCTGTACACATCATCGTTGGAGCCACACGCAAGTGTGAGTAACGATCCAAGAGCAAGTCTTACCCGACACTATTCCGATGATATCCCGGACGTCAGTCTGAGCGAGATTATAATGGCTCTCCAGCACCTTAAAAACGACAGGGCTCCAGGCGAGGATGGAATTACAGCGGAGCTTCTGAAAGGGGGTGGAACACCGGTACTTGAAGTCCTTCAGAAGCTCTTCAATTTCGCCCTCCATGGTGGCACTACTCCGGAGGCGTGGAGCAGAAGTGCGGGGGTCTTGTTCTTTAAGAAAGGTGACAACACTCTCTTGAAGAACTCAGACCGATTTCCCTTCTGAGCCGCGTCTACGTGCTGTTTTCGAGTCATTACGAATCGTCTCGCACGCAGACTCGACGACTTCCAGCCTCCCGAACAAGCCGGTTTCCGAATAGGCTTCAGTACCATAGACCACATACATACCCTGCGGCAGATTGCACAGAAGACCGAAGAGCACAATCTGCCACTTTGCCTGGCGTATGTGGACTATGAGAAAGCCTTTGATTCCGTCGAAATTTGGGCGGTGCTACAGTCCCTTCAGCGGTGCCAAGTTGACTGTCGGTATATCGAAGTGCTGAAGTGTTTGTACAGTAGGGCTACGATGGCTATCCGAGTACAGAATCAGAGCTCGAAACCTATCCAACTGCAGAGAGGTGTAAGACAGGGTGACGTGATATCCCCGACACTCTTCACCGCTGCATTGGAAGACGTTTTCAAGCTACTGGACTGGAAAGGATACGGTATTAACATCACATTTGCCGACGATATAGTCATCAATCGCCTTAAGCACTATGCTCAATGACCTCAATGGTGTCTCCCAACGGATAGGTCTTAAGATGAACATGGACAAAACAAAGATCATGTTTAATGTCCATGTCTCAACTATGCCGGTAGTTGTTGGGAGCACTATGCTCGAAGTTGTTGACGAGTACGTTTACCTGGGACAAATAGTCCGACTAGGTAAGTCCAACTTCGACCGAGAGGTCAATCGCCGGATTCAACTCGGCTGGGCAGCGTTCGGGAAATTACGACACATCTTCTCGTCAGGTATACCTCAATCTCTGAAAACTAAAGTGTACAACCAGTGCGTGTTGCCAGTGATGACTTACGGATCAGAGACGTGGTCCTTCACTGCTGGCCGTATGAGGACGCTCAAAGTCGCTCAGCGAGCTATGGAGAGGGCTATGCTCGGAGTTTCGCTGCGTGATGGACTCAGAAATGAGGATATCCGCAGTAAAACCAGAGTGACCGACATAGCCCAACGGATTAGTAAGCTGAAGTGGCAATGGGCCGGCCATATAGCTCGAAGAACCGATAACCGATGGGGAAGAAAGGTTCTCGAGTGGCAGCCTCGTACCGGTAGGCGTAGTGTAGGGCAACCCCCCACTAGATGGAGTGACGACCTGGTAAGACATGCAGGAAGTCGATGGATGCAGGTGGCTCAGGACCGTGCTTTGTGGCATTACTTGGGGGAGGCCTATGTTCAGCAGTGGACTTGTGAAGGGCTGTAATGATGATGATGATGATGATGAAAATCGGAGATATTAAATTGTGACAATACCGCCGCAAACATGTTTGTTTACCTCTATTTAAATCTAAAAGTGAATTCTTCTTAGCTATTTACCGCCCTTTTTAGCGGAATTCAAAAGATGAGGAGGTTAACAATTCGTCTGTATGTTTTTTCTTTAGTTTTTATGTCACGCGATACCTGTAGTGCTGTATACCTATACTTATACTTGGTAATTTTGAAAGTTTGCATGCTGTATCTTATGGCTAAATAGGTCTTTAAGCAACTTATTTTTATTGTAAAGACATAATACCGTACTTATGGCAAATAAAGAAATTTGAATTTGATATCTTAGTCGATTGTGGACCGACTGTGAATAAAAAATAAGGGAAATATTGAATTGGTTACGCTCCAAGGATGGTGAAACCTATATAAGTTTGTTGAAAAAATTCCGACCGGTGGTATATTAGGGGATGAAGTATGAATGGAACTATTTAGACGTCATTGAGAATATTCATAGTCTACTCAAACAGAAAAAAATAACTTAAAACACAAAGTAAAATCCAAGACATATTCTATACAAGAGCATTAAAAGCCCCGAATTAATTTGAAATTACTTTATTCCTTTTTGGATCTTTAAAGTCGACTTTTAAATAATTTTACTGAAAGTTAATTTTTTGAAACACATAGCTTCGATATTTTCACAGACTGTTACCTCGTCAGCTATCAAAATTCTTAAAGTTACCCTTAGCTATCTTCTGTTGAAACGATCGTAACATGACAAAAAGCGATTTATATACTTATATAAAAATAATAAGTTCAAACGTTTCCCATTTAGACGATTATTATGATGGATTTTGCAGCTTGGTTGCGTCGAGTCAGCACAAGAGGTATCGTTTTATCAGCCATAATAAGACAAATCTGATTTCGAAGTATATTTTTGAATAAAAAGAAATGAAATCTCTTCATTCTCGTTGTGTATTTTTTAATCTAATGCCGTTTTAAAACGGGACATTTCTCCCTCTGACTGGAAAAAATACAAAACAAAAAGAAAAGGCAGACTAGGCAACACATCAAATACTTTAAGAGAAAGCATAATATAAACATGTGTTTTTCTGAAACATAAAATATTTTTTATAAAATTGAGCTCGACAAACAAACACTAAAGTGGCCCTGATGATTTTTGAATGCTGTAACCCATAGGCATCGACATCTATGGTCGAGTAAGAATAATACGTTGTCGTCTCTGAAGACTACCATGGAATACCCACCTAGGGTTAGAAGACACCGGTATTAGGTAAAGAAAATACTACGAAGGGTGAGTAACTCACCACATGAAAGACAATAGAATCATGCTGCTTTTACGCTGGTATTTAATGCGAGTATGATCCTCTGTCGAGCCAATTTAGTCCCATTTCAGCTGGTAATTTCCATTTACCATATAGGGATTCATCAGCACTTACAACCAGATGGGATTGTAGTCAAGCAATTTCTTACGCCTTTTAGTCTTTCATGTAGGTCTTCCCTATTGATTGCCGCATGGGGGATATTTTGTCATGGTTTCCACGCTTGGCAGGCGGATTTTTTTATGATTTTGAATCGATATCAGGAAGATGCTGCTGCCTATCCCCTGATTCAGTTCTCCTCTGTCACTTCTTACGATACCCACGAAACCATATGGAGTAGTTGAAATGCTTACACCACCACTTCATGGTTATCCTTGTTGACCCTTCTGATTAGACTAAACAATATTGCAAGCTAAAGGTATGGAGAAGAATATCATCTGAATAGTTACATTAAAACCTTGATCCCGAATTTATTCACTATTCATTAGGAGTAGAATTTATTCATTAGGAGTAGAATTCTTTTACTTTCATTGGGTCTCTTGAATGAAATGCGGGAATTAAAATGAAAGTTTAATAAAAAAGGATTAATAAAATCTGTCCAATATTGGCGGAGATATCGCATAATATTCATACAACATAGTAACATATTAGGTACGTGATGGTAATATGGTCATCTTAATCTTTGCCGCCATAAAAAAAACTAGTTGGAGGACACAGACAAAAACACAAAGTTGTATACTATAACTAATATATTTAAAAAAAAAAAACTTTGATAATAATTAGGAACACTTTGAAAAATCACCTTTAAAAAATTAACTACGCTACACCATACTAAAATCAACTAAAATATTTACTATAATGTCAACTATCAAAATGGCGTCGATAAAACAGCGCTCTTTTAACCCTTTATTATTTGATGGACTGATGAAGAGCTATCGTATCAAACAAGGCTGTAGTTATTGAGTTATTAGAAAGTAACCATATTACTCTTACGTACTACAGTTACTTTTTTTAAACTTTTAGAGCTAAAACTAAACTTATCTCGGTTTCTAAACGCTAGGATTTCTGTTCAGTTTAGGAGTCTATCTGTTTATATACCACCTTCTTACTTATTTCTGTTATTACCAATACGTTAATAGCACTGTTGGGTTCCGGTCTGAAGCTTGCGGAGAGCCAGTATAATTTCAGAATATGAGACATTCCATCTTTGTCCTCAGGTAGCCTTTTTTGTATGAATTTGATTGCAAGTGTCCATAGGCTACTGTAGCCAGTTAGCATCAGGTAGACTGTGAGTTCGTTGCCCACTTCGGTTTTTTTTAATTTGTTTAAAAGTATTTCATTTTATTTTTTAATCATTAACATACAGTACGAAAAAAAGGTATTTACTAAATAACTATCGATACAAATTATACAGTATACCGGTGAAACAAACTTACACAATGAATAGCTGCTCTATCTCCGGTGATAGGGCGCGAGATGCGGACATATCGCGCTGAATTATTCAACGTCCGCACTTAGCACAATGACTTGCTGAAAGATTGACTACGTTTACGTTTCACCTACTTATCTTTCAGTGTTTGATTATATTACCGTACGTTAGCTCACAGTCATCAGAGCCTCGCGCACTAAGCGTGTGATTGTGGCGAGTTGCGACACGTATAGAAGGCTAACCAACTATTGTAAAAGAAGGTGCTACACAGTTCAAACGTTGTTTGTACTTTTGATTTTACAGAACAATTTTTATTCAATAATAGGAATCCGCCCTATCTTCGCACTAGTGATTTCTGGATCTCGATCACAGCGCCACCTACCGGGTCCAATTGTGAATCTAAACCATCCAGGGACCCACTCAAACTACACAAAAATTTTATCAGACTCGTTCGCGCCAGTTTCGAGTTATAGCGAGACTAAAAGACTGCGATTGATTTTTATTTATAGAAATAGATTATACATAGTACGTCTCGGGAAATACCCTCTGTCCTAGGGAGAACCAGCAAGAAACCTTGCGGGATTATATTTTATTAAACATTTATTTTATTTTTTGCGTGGAAGAGCCACACTGTAGCTATATTATTGTTGTAGCGCGAAAGGGTCCACTCGACCGGGGAAGGACCACGCTCTCACGGAATATCAGCGTAAAACAGCAGCTTGATGCTGCTGTGTTTCGTATAGTAAGTGTAGAGAAACGGAAAACTAGTTTACTGGAATTGAGGAATTCTATTTTAGTCCTGAGAGGTGACAACGCATCTGCATTTTGATTCTTAATCGAGGATAAATGTAGATGTCTATAGACCACAGGATCCACTTACCATCTGTTAGCTTCATAACAAGTTGGTGAACAACTCTCAGACTCAAAGATCGGTTCATTTCAAAAATATGAAGTAGAATATAGTTTCATCGCATTTAAAAAGCGTAGCGGTACGTAAAGGTAGAGAAAGTCCAAAGTTCTATTTATTAATGACTTATGTTTTAGGTCTTTTGAGACCACAAAAGTGATATACAAAAGTAACATTTTTGCTTTGAACCTCCTCAGGGAGGCGTGTATCTGGTGGACTTGCTGAACGTGTACGGGCCGGGGCTGGCGATCTTGTTCCTGGTGTTCGCGGAGGCGGCGGGCGTGTGTTGGCTGTACGGCGTTGACCGCTTCTCCGAGGACGTGAAGAGCATGCTGGGACACACGCCCGGCTTGTTTTGGCGCGTTTGTTGGACTTACATCAGGTACTTCTACTTTAAAATATGCAAGTAGTCAGCTTTTCGACTTTCTATATGGTGCATTTCGGGGAATGAGCACAGGAAATGCATAACTCAATTCCTCCCTCTCCCTTCCATCATCATTCAACCAGACGATCAACCAGTCTCCACCCTTTCATTGTTGACTTACCATTCATTCGAACCAAACGGTTTTCCACATCATTCGTCATGCGTACAGCTAAGGAGTGGAATAAGTTACCAACATCTATCTTTCATCCGATTACAATGTGGGTGTCGTCAAGGCAAGAGTGAATAAGCTTTTGTTAAGTCAGTGCGCTTCACCATCTTCGGCTGCATCATGAGATAGTAGTCAAGTGCTAGCTTAAATTTACAGCCTATATATGTCCCACTGCTGGGAACAGGCCGCCGCTCATGGCGAACATCACATGTCATTGAAATAAAAATTTTTGCTCTTTTTTTGACGCTGGCTCAGAATAGGAAAAAAAATTAAAACATTTTCTCTTGTTTTTTAAAATAAAATAACTTATTGAGCCCCTCCCTTGGTAAGTATTTATCACAATCGCGATGTTTGGATAGTATTGTACTGGTCATGGCATCTTTAACGCTGCTCGGGACGGCGGTCTGTGTATTTTAGTTCTGGTTTCTTGTAAAATCTGTTCATTAACATCTGATGTAAAATAAGGCATTTACCAAACACGCTCTTAAGATACCCATGGAATGAAACTTCTTGCTTAACTACTGTAATTTTAATTGACTCCATTCGAATCCCTGTCCCATTACTATACTATTATATCGTAATTTTAAAGGAAATAAAATGAAACAAATAGATACATAGTTAAACAAAAACTTTGCATTTATTCTCTTACGTCACCACTACCCGGCATTGGTTTCTCAGACTCAAGAACGCGTCTGTTTTAAAACCCACAATGTAATAAATAATAATAAATTAATAATTCCTAGAATTATGAATTATTAATTTATTATTTAAGTTTTAACTTTAAAACATAATGTATAAATTATGTTTTAAAGTTAAAAGTGTTTTAAAATTAAAAAATACACTTTAATATTATTTATTTTTTCTCCATACCTCCATAGTCCGGTGTTCCTGCTGGTTCTGTTCGTGTTCTCGGTGTTGTCACACGAGGAGATGCTGGGCGGCGAGTACACATACCCACGCTGGTCCATCGCCGTCGGCTGGCTCATGACCGGCACCACCGTTTCCTGCGTGCCGATCTACTTCATCTACAAGCTGCTCATTACACCTGGAACCTGCTACAATGTGAGTAATAAAGTAAAGATACGTAAGGTGCTGCTGTCTACGTTTTTTTATCTTTATATTTTATAAAATAAATATGTATATACTGAATGACATTTTTTACCGTCTGGAAAAAATAGGGTGTAACATATGAACGGAGTAGAAGCCTATGGCACCGATATTTTATACAAAATAAAAACAAAAATTTTGTATTAAATAAATTAAATAATTAAAATCTATCGAAATCAAATCATATCCACCCTACTTTACGAACAGCAATAAAACAATAAATTTAGTAGGCATCTTTGACTTTGATTCTAATTTATTTATTTATTTAATTCAAAATTTTGTTCGTATTTTTTGTAAAATATCAGTGCCATAGGCTTCTACTCCGTTCACATTTTACACCCTATTTTTACCAGACGGTAAAAAAGATTATCCAGTAAAAGTGAAGTTTATTTGATAAGTTGTTTTTTGCTTTTTCTTTTCATCGAAGTCTGCATCTGCCAACCTCAGACTTACAAAGAGAGACGTTACTTAATTTTTATTATTTTATAAAATTGCAGCGCTTGAAAACGATTAAGCGTCCAGTGGAGAGGTCGGTGCCGGGCGGGGACGTGTCTGCGCTGTGACCGCGCGCGACGCTCGAGTGGCTCGTCTAGTCGTCCAGCGCTTTCCGCTTGCCACCAGGTGGGTCGCTAGCCTGCCAGATGGTATAATTGGAATACAAATGTGAATAATACAAAGAATTCTATGTATATAACCACAAGGGTTATATACATAGAATTCTCCTCGGGTTAGGACCTGCGGCCCACTAAGTTACGCTCAACTCTCCGTAACTCATATTTAGTCGACTGCGAGCGGCTCAGAAGACTAGTTCTTTGTTTTATAAACCGCAATAGTTGTTTTCTACAATCGCAAATTATTACGTGCGCACTGTTTCAACGTGATTTGAAATTTATTTCAGATAAGTATGTCAGCCAGCCACAGCCGCGACTCTGACAGCGCATTCCTCAGCTGATACAGTTTTTTTTCTGGCGTGATGCTCTACGCGGGATCAGAAACTAACATTTCATTTTGTTACACATGTTTTACGTGGTAGATAGAGCCATGTAGCACGAATGGATCGGCTTGACCAGGGAAGGGCCACGCTCACATAATACGAGCGTAAAATAGCAGCGTAACCCAGCTTTGTTTCGTAAGATGAGTGTAGAACCGGAACCGGAAACCCCCTTTACTGGAAACGAGACAATCCTTCTTATTCCTCACTACATCTGCATTTTGATTCTTAATCGAGGAATGATGTAGATGTCTTTGGGCCACAGCGACCACTTACAAGCAGGTGGACTGTGTGAAAAAAAACATCGAGTAATTTTTTTAAATTTCGTTTACTCCATATTTCATTTAATTATTTTTAATCAAAAAAAACATTTGAATTAATTACAAATTCTAAAATTAACTATGGTGTTTCACATTTGCTTGGCGTCTCGTGACTATCAACTTTTTTATATTTGTTACAGAATATTGCTCGTTGTGTTATGAAGTTGTGTTCGTTTGTGTTTTTATAACAAGATTTGATTTTTTATAATATCAAAGACCCAGGCGGTATAAAATAGGTTGGCTCTATTGGCAGCCTTGGTGATTGAACTCTAACTTAACGTGATTCCACTACGCAGACAGCCGTGGCAAAAAGTACACAAACACTGTTCTTGTACATTAACCATCATACAAAATATGTTACCCAATATCACAATATGTTGAATGTATGTTGTTGTTGTTGTCACAGACGGCCAGTCTTAAAGGAGACTAGCCTTTTAAGCAGGACAGGATTATAGTTGCCGAGTGTATGCACAAGCTTAATTGCACTTTCTGTTCCCACACTCTCATATTTCGATGGAAAAAATATACGACACGACTGGAGATAGCTCAAGCGCAGTACCAACGGCGTTACGTGCTTTCCGAGGCACGGGGCTGTCACATTACTAGCTTCCTGACTCCAGGCTGCTACTAAAATTTTCTTGTCAGGAAATCACAATAATTTATTTAGACCCGATGCGGGATTCGAACCCGAACCTCAAAATCATCAGTCGCGTTTACGTACACTAGACCAAAGATATAGACGATGCGCCACATTATACGAAGTTTTTGGGAGATTATGACACCAACATAACTATGTAGTAAGTGTGGAATGAGTCAATGACGATAATATCTCAAGGTGTTCAACTGCATAAATACCTTGGGATCCTTATCACTAGTTATCGTGAGTAATTCCAATATCTTTTTTGTTTCAGCCACTCTAATTCCGACGACCAAGTGTATATTTTGACAAAATTTCGAGTTCTTGCCTTCCGTTGATTTGTATTAGCATAAGTTAGTTTAAAAGTTTTTTTGTCTTTGTTGAAATAACAATAACTTTTCCACCACTAAGATGGACACGAAAATTTTAAAAAGTATAAATCACAGAGCATCACCTGTGCAAAAATTGAGAATAACAAACTCTTAAAAACTTCATATTGTGTATTCGTATTATGTAAGCTTAGTAATAAAATAATAAATAAGTTTCCATAAAATTATAAAATATAAAAAGGGCGGGTTTCTAGATGAATATATTAAACAATATAAACTATAATATATTAAGGATAGAAAAAGAATATGTTTAAAAAAATCATAATATTAATAATTATAGCCACAGCTTAATAATATGTGACAGAAATTATATAGTCACACTTTATCCTTTTCAAAACTTAGTAGGCAAATATGTTACATATAAATTGAGATAATATCATTATTTATTAAGCTACTTAGTGAAGCTCATTACTATTAAAAGTTATTATAATAGTAATTCTTGTTCTTTTAATCGAGTATTCTTATTTAATAATGGAATACATATTAACGATTTAAACGAATATGTAAATATTAGTAGAAATTAGATTGTAAATATTTAAAACATGCTGAACGGACTATAAAAATAAAAGTGCACGCTTGTTTATTGTTTGTGATAACATATAAACAAAAATTACAATATAAATATTTCCGTATTCGCGGGCAATGAATACGGAAATATTAAAGAACATCCATATATGCGCAAGATACAAATATATATTATGCATTATTTTAATATATATGTAGACTATGTATGTAGATGACTAAACGTACGTAATCAGGTTGATGTTATTGTAGACTTGTAATCAAGCTCTAGTCTAATAAGATTTTAAAATTGTAATTAGAAAATTAAAATGTTAGTATATAGACAGCTTTATCTGGAAAATAGTCTATAATAAGAAGGTATATTGTGTATAAAAATTTGGTGTTAAAAATATCTTTGAACTTTAATAGGTAATAGTTACTTTTAATATAATATACGTAAGATAAATGTTTGCAACATTGAAGGCATTCGATGTATGATTGTATTGTATGATTCATATTCATAAAATTTAGAAATTAATGCTTAAAACGATTTAAAGAAATTCACCTGTTGTCTCATTTAAATAGTGATCATTTTGAATGAGAGTAATTGAATTACCTACGTGTTACATTTCATGTACTATTATTACTATATTGTAATACAAGTAATATAATAGTTAATTGCTTCATTGTTAAACATATGGTGCATGTCCTAAATAATGATGTAGAGATACAGCAATGTTATTCGACTCTATAATATTACGTGTTAGTCACGTGCTCAGTGTTTTTATATAAAATATTAAAAAATATAGTTCATATACCCACAGAGTTATAAATTTTTTTAGTTACAAAAAACAGCTGTATGTTTGTTGTGATGTAACGTTTAATAATATGAATTACATCGTTTAACAATAAAAATTATCTTTGTTATCGTGTTAGTTGATGTAACCGATAGAACTGTGTTGTGTATGTATGTAATAAACTCACAAATGTTTAGACGGGGCCTGTGTCAGCCATCACAGGTCACTCTAGCCATTTGTTAAGAAAAACAAATGTTTTATTTGTATCATAAGTTACCGTCACAATATATTAAAGTCCAATGCTGAACATAGCCCTCCCCCATAAACTGCCACATATAGGGAATATCTGCCACAGTTGCCACGCTTGGCAAGCGGGTTGGCAACCGCAGTCTTTTTAAGTAGTTATTAAGAAGACTTATTTCCCTCTGTCGCCCATTACGACTGCAGCACGAGTGGGTCAACTCCATCGGATATAAACACGCTCGCACAGAATGGCACCGTGAAATAACAGCACAATGCCGCTGTGAATAGTGTGAGACAAACGAGCATATAGTCCACCAGATGGTAAATGGATGTTGTGGCCTATAGACATCTACATTTAACCTCGATTAAAAATCAAAATGCAGATGCTTTGTCACACCTGAGGACTAAGATGTGCCTCGTTTTCAAAAAACTATCTTCAGATTCTCTACACTCACCATACGAAACACAGCAGCATCATGCTGTTATTTTACGCTGGTATTCTGTGAAAGCGTGGTCCAACAAAAAAATAAAACGAGAAAGAAAACTACAACAAAAAAATAGTTGAATCGAATCGAATCGAAAGTAATGGATGGTGACTTAAAAAATGCATCCCGTATTCTATTCTTAGACGACATCCTCGCTCCTCGTAATGTCGAAACTCTTGAAGGCCTTCGTCAGAAACATCCTTCGGTCAATTCTCAGGATTTACCACTGCCTCCTAATACTTCTACGCAACCTTTACAAATTTCTGAAAAAGACACTTTAGACGCAATATTGTCATTTTCGAATGGCTCTGCCGGCGGCATTGACGGGATTACGCCTCAACATCTTAAAGATCTTGTAAGCATATATGCCGGTGACGCCAGTAGAGTACTTCTTAATGACATTACAAAATTATGTAATTTTATGCTTTCTGTTAATGTCAATCCCAATTTCACTCCCTACTTTTATGGAGCAAGATTGTGTGCCTTCAAAAAAAAAAGATAACGGTATCCGTCCTATTGCTGTTGGTTCCACATTTCGACGCTTAACTTCAAAATAAGCTTGCAGATACATAATCTCAAATCTTAAGACAAAATATCAGCCTACGCAACTAGGCTTTGGCACCAAAGATGGCTGTGAGGCGGCGGTACATTCGGTGCGTACCTTCTTAACAAATTCTAATGCAGATGTTCTTCTGAAAGTTGACCTTAGAAATGCTTTTAACTCTATTGATAGGATAACCCTGCTGAAAGAAGTGGCTAACAATACCCCCGAAATTTATCATTACGTTTGGCAATGTTACAGTCAAAATTCGAACTTGTTTTATCAGAACCATATTATTGAGTCTGCTGTCGGTGTTCAGCAGGGTGATCCTCTAGGTCCAGCTCTTTTCAGTTTGGGAATTCAACCTATTATTTCAAATTTAAAATCAAAGCTGAATGTATGGTACCTGGACGACGGTACACTGGGATGTAAAGCAGATGACGTCCTCAGTGATCTTACTATATTTTTCAAAATTTTAAAAATATTGATCTTGAACCAAATACCAATAAATGTGAAATATTTATTTCCAATAATTTACCTAATTCTAACAGAGTATTAAACCTGTTTTAAAAACAAAATTTGATCAATTTTTAAATCACGTTAATAAATTATATATCTTAAACCCCCATATTGCCCTTACTATTTTAAAATATTGTCTC